TATAATGCACTTTAGTCTCACTTTATGTAGATTCCTGATAAAGCACAGCTGCTAAAATAATATTCATAGAGCCAGTTAATATACAATTGCTTTCCAGAGCTTTGAAAAATCTATGCATGGCTAAATAGCTTCAAGTACTGTTTAGTGCTTATACATGGGGCCATTCATCTACCCCTTCTTGAAGGAGAAATCAATGTATAGAGAAACTCACCTACACATTTTGCATTGTATTTCTGTATTGCTAATATATGAGCCCATTGTTTATTTTTCCTGCAATTGCTATTCCACTATTTTCGAGTGCCCATCTGTTATAAAAACTGATAATTAAATATTAACCATTCATTATTCAAACCACAGTACTTTGTATGTGTGAGCAAAAAAAATCAAACAATGATACGCCTGGACTATTCTCACAATCATATCTTACTTGCCATGCATGTTGAGGTTTATGAGAGCTGAAATACAGGCTGTTTATTCCTAAAACTAAGGTATTTGCCTTTAGAGAGAATAAACACTCATAATAAGGGAAGTAACCAGTGAGTAAAAGTGTACAGGCAAACCTTGTTTACAACCAATTTGTACATGGGGAAGATGCAGTTATAAATCAGTTCAGCTGGTAAGTAATTTGCACTTTCTTTTATTATCATAGGACCCTTAAAACTCTTTCTGGCACTTGAAAATTTATTTCACCCTGAGTTGGAAAATAGGTTATAGGTGTAATACAAATTCTAAAATTTAAAAGAATCCAAGACTCCACCCTTTAAAAAAAAAACCCTCACAGAGAGCATAATTCTGACTCTGTCCACAAGCATGCTTAATGTAGAGCTGCCCACTTTGTTTCATTACCTTATTCATTGATTTCCTTCTCTAGATGGTATGGTGTGCAACACCCAGATATCAAAAAGTTTCGGCATCTCTGATACACAGTTATTAATTCTTTAGTGAGCAAGAACTGATGATCCTGAAATTAGCTATACATCTAAATATGCTATTTTATTTTCCGTACAGAATCCGACATTTGAACATGAAACGAATTATTTCTCACAACTCTTGAAGGGGCTGGGAGAAGACACTAGGGACACAAGACACTGTATAAGGGTTAAATGAAATATGTTGGCACAGGTAGGAGTGACATAATAAGGAAAGCAACTCTGAAGTGATAAAGAAAAATGAGCAGCAAAGGAAAGGTATTTGAAGAAATGGAGCAAGACGAGAATTATTTTGTGCAAATTAAATTTAAATTAGAAAGGATGACACTCACTCTGATCTTGTCAGGCTGAAGCATTATTTTCTCTGAGCGGGTGGTAATAAGAAAGATATACATATATCAAGGTCTGTAAGCCTGTTTCTTCCTTTTGGCTAGTAATAATAGAGCTGCTACTGCTGCCCATTTATCAGGAGGACAAATAAACATGAAAGTGACAGACAGAAAACACACCAGATTTATTATAGTAGCAACTGTACTAAGATGTGGGTTGTAGTAAGAAAAACTATAAAAGGATGAAGACCTCTGAGCGGTGCCTCTTAACCCAATCCTTTGAAGCAGGTTGTGGGACAGAATATTCTTTGCTTTGTCTGCTGTTCCTTTGCTGCTGTACATGTTCCCTTCTGAACGCCCAAGCACAGAGCAGATGTCTTCAAAGGCAGCAATCACTCTAGCTTAAGGAAAGTAAATAATCTGAGACAGGATTTACACGAAAGGTTCGCTGAATGGTAGGACCTTTGTCCCTTTTTTATCTCACACAGTAGAAATCCTTGTAAAGCTTCATTTAGAGTAGCAGCCATCACGTGCCCTAGGATGGCCAAACCTGCCAAGCTGGATTTTGCTCATTTCTTTTTTTTTTTTTTTTTCCAATTTAAAGGTTATTTTCCTCTTGGCTGTCATTTAAAGAAAAGAGGTTGCATGAAAATATATATATATCAAGTTTGTGTGTGTGTGTGTAATATATTACTTCTATAATATATTACTATTTTAGGACTTCTTTCTGAACCTTTTGGTATTAATCCTAAAATTTCAAAATTTTCTATCAATTGTGAAAGAGTGCCTTGTCCTGTTCTATGCTTGGAGTGGAATGTTTAAAGAAAAATAAAATAGAAATCTATTCTTTCATTTAAAAAAACTATCTAACACAGCTTTTTTCCCCCCCAGAATAAAGGAATACAAATTTCAATCAACTCTGGAACAGGAGCTAGCAAACAGATAAATAAAAATCTGACCATTTTACAAAAAGCTTAGCAGTGATGGCTTTAAGAAAATTTGCTGCTTTGAAAGGAATTCCTGAAATCCAATACTTTATTTTCCAGACCAGGTTTCTTTTATAAAATACACAGGCATTTTATAAAAAATACAAGCATTGTTTGTTTGTTTACCTGCTTGCTTGCTAGTTTGCCATAAACTGCCCTTCACAAATGACAGAAATGCAAAGAAGCAGATAAATCAAAATTGGAGCTTCAATAAGGATCCATTGGATTCAGGCTTCACTGTTACATCTGGAAGCTATGAAAATCTTTAATTATGCCCCATTTACAACTTGGCATCAAAGATTTGTAAAAGTGCAGATACTAGCACATACCTGAATTCTAATTCTGAGTTAATTTATTTTCAGCTCAACTGCAGTGTAACCAAAGCCAATGGGAAAAAAGACTTTTTTCTATGAGCAAGTTTAAAGCCCTGGGCAATCTGATTTATCATTGAGAAACTCTTTCTTCTGTTTTCTTCCTAGATTTCAATTGACACTGAATTCAATTGTCATGTTCATAAAGTGGAAAAATACATGAGGGCCTGATAGTTTATAGAACTATTTGGACTACTGCAATGTGCTCTACATGGGGCTATCCTTGAAAAGTATTTGGAAACCACAATTGGTGCAGAATGTGGTGGAGTTTTAGCACTTCTAGGATGACACATATAACACCTTTGTTACACAAACTGCATTAGCTACTGGTTTGTTTCTGGGTCAATTCAAGATATTACACCAAATCCATGAAGAAGAAAAAAGGAAGAAAAATAAGCATATGCAACCAATCGCTTGGTAATACACACTGTATGTAATTGACCTAGCAAATACATACATTGTGTATTAACAACTAGTTGGTGCATATGCTTATCTTTCTTCTCTTTTTCATGGATTTGGGGATTATAGCCTTAAGATCTGCAATAGATTGGGATGGTGAGCTAAGGGAAATATTATTTGCCCTGGCCTTCTGTTCAGTTAATGCAGGGGTGTCAAACTCGCGTCATCATGGCAATGTCACGTGATGTAACATGACTTTTTTCTCCTTCACTAAACTGGGTGTGGGCATGGCCAGCGCATGATGCATCCAGTCCATGGGCCACGAATTTGACAGCCCTGAGTTAGTCGGATAGTGTTGCTGGGTTTTGTAGTATTTCTACCTATTCTGTGTTTCACAGATGGCAGTTCAAAGGAGAAAATAGCTAGAAGGTGAGGTACACAAGCTAAGGAAGGCTTCTTATAGCATTCTTGGGGGAAAAAATATATCCCACCTACTTTACCTATTGCTCATTTCTAGAAATCTACTGGAAGGCACAGTTTCTGAAAGAGATATTTGTGCTGTCATAAAACAGATGGTGAAGGAGATGTGTCAATATGTTCTGGGAAGGAAAGGTTAATTGGTTAATATTGTATTGCTTGCTTAGAAGAACATACTTCATTATAAATCTTCACATTAAACTAGTAGCACAGACGTGCAACATAAATCTGTTCATTAATGTTTCCATGAAAAAAAAAAGAAGAAGAAGAAAAGCATAGAACGTTGGCCTGAAACAAGAAGCAACATCACCTACTGTTTAGAGGCATTGCTAATATAATAATTACAATAGTTTGAAGATGCTCCCTGTGGGAAGAATAAGCATGATGTATAATGTTACTCAGGTCACAGCTGGAGGAGATAACATATCTAAGAAAAATGTTGCAAGGAATTAGAGTTTGAGTTAGTCATAGATCACCATCAAGTAATTGATGGTACATTGTACTATTAGAAACTTGGTGACTGTGAGGTTTTTTCCAACAATGTATTTTAAGATTGTAACAAAGATTCTTGAAATATTATTAGGTTATTTCTAAAAGGAGGATTTATTGCAAATTGCTGCCAAAACATTATTTATCTCATCTGTTGTGAAATGCCTTGAGCATTGTTTCCCTTGTAGAAGGACAGCACAAGAACATTAATTTAATATACTGTATGCCTACCATCTTGAAGTCATTGAAGGAGAAGTGGGATAAAAATACAACTACCAGACACGATGCGAACCGGTAGTAAAGGTAAGTAGTACCCACCCCTGGTCCTAAATCTGCAAATGATTAAACCTGCAATAAGCTTGCTTATAAATTTAGTTTGTCTCCATTTTCTTATAGAAGACAGTCCAGAATAAATAAAAATGATGTAATACATTTCCTAATTATTTTTTCAGGTGTGTTAATATTAATAATATGATTTTAAGTCAAAGCTGTATTATTAGGTATGTTGGTTATTGTGTGCATGATTTATTTTCATATATGTACACCTATTAATGACATTGTCATCAGCAAGTAATCTTTAATACAACCACAAACATAAACATAAGTTTTGGCAGATGTGGTTTAGAAATGTCTGTAATGCAAATTATATATAACCTAACCTAACATAACATAACATAAAACATAACATAATACACACACACACACACACATTTAAAAAAATCTATTCTATCCAGGAATTTGGAAGATGCATTGGAAGGTTATAAAAAAAGAGTAAAAAGTTACACATTTTCTTGAAATCATATTAGCATTTGCCTTCTTGTGATGGAACAGGAAAAGACCTACAAAAGAATGGAACATGCCATTGGCTTCCCCATATATATTAGTTTAAAATTCTTTTTAAAGAAGAAAGGATAATATAGAAAAAACATAATTAACAGATTAACAGAGTTGGAAGGGACCTTGTAGGTCATCTAGTCCAATCTCCCACCCAAGAGAAGACCCTACACCATTTCTGACAGATGGCAGTATTATTATTATTTTATTTATTAGTCATATTTCTATGCCGCCCACTCTCCGAGGACTCTGGGTAGCTTATACCAAAGACAGTATACTAAATAGCATATTGCCCCCAACAATCTGGGTCCTCATTTTACCCACCTCGGAAGGATGGAAGGCTGAGTCAACCTTGAGCCAGTGAGATTTGATCCGCTGATCTGCTGAACTAGCAGTCAGCTGAAGTAGCTGCAGTACTGCACTCTAACCCTGTGCCACCTCGGCTCATTCAGTCATCTCTTCTTGGAAGCTTCCAGCGATGAAGCTCCCACAACGTCTGAAGCCAAGCTGCCCATTGGTTGATTGTTCTCACTGTCAGAAAATTTCTCCTTATTTCCAGGTTGAATCTCTCCTTGTTCAGTTTCCATCCATTATTCCTTGTCTGGACTTCAAGTGCTTTGGAAATGCATTTCATCTGTATTGATTTTGTAGAATAAGATATTGAGGGACGGGGGAGGGAGGGAGGGAGAGAGAGAGGGAGAGAGAGACAGGGGGAGAGAGAGAATATCTTAATGATTTATTTTTACTTGTACTTTGCAAGATGTGTTTCCGTAAATCTGATTATGACAAGCTAGTATCAGTAAAGGCTGCTATTTTAGCTACATAAGGATTTGCATTTGTAAAAACGATGACTATTATTCTTTTTTTATATATAAAAATTCCACTTGCAGAAACAGAAGCACTCCTTCTTTATTTACTCTGGCATGCCTGAAACCAATGGCATTAATGAAGATTTACCTAGCATGCTTTGAATTAAAATAATTCTATAAATTAATATTAAAGGATAAAAATTTGAACATATGAAATATTGTCTTCTGGTTACCATTCTTTCTCAATAACTTCTTAAGGGTTAAATGTTAAGTCTTTAGAGCTGAATGTTATTTCAAGATTCAGTTTTAATAATAAAATTATTGAAATTAATATCATTGTAATTATCACACACAAAACCTCATTTCTAGGAAGCAATGCACTTAATATATTTTGATTTTTTCCCCACTACTGTGATATTCTCCATAATACAGTGATAATTAATTATCACTATATTATGACTGTAATTATCACTGATAATAATCAGAAGCCATCTGGAAGATTACAAATGATGATCATATGACCCTATGATTGTACAACTGTCATAAATACATACCACTTGCCAAGCACCAGAATTTTGATCACATGACCATGGGGATGCTGCAATGCTGTCATAAGTGTGAAAACTGGTTTTTCAGTGCTGTTGTAACTTTGAACAATCTCTAAACAAATGGTTGTAAGTCAAGGTCTACCTGAATAACATTTCTGTTATCCTCTTAAAGATATCATCTTTAACGTTGATTTAGCATTGAGAGTTACAAACTCAAAGGCTTTTCTGTTGTTAAAAAAACCCAAAACTTCCAAATCTTTGCAAGGATGTAGGCACAAAATTTTCAGAGATAAAAGAAGATACTTTCAAAAGTCAACGTTTATAAATAAGGAAATACCACTTTGCGAGCTTGAATAAAATAAGCAGTGCTCACACTACTCAGAGTTCCTATCACAACAAAGCTGTTGAACCAAACGTGATGCAATTTCAAAGACTAGCATATTTGCCCTTTGAATGCTGTTTTCAGTTTGTATAAGAATTGTGTAAGTATCTTAGACATATTGTTAAATTGTGATCAAAGTATAGAATGTGCAACAGTGACATCTAGTGATTTTTTTTTTCAAGGAAAAAATATATGCTTGTTTTTGAGACGGGGAAACCATTGAGAATAGATTGTTACCCACAAACACAAAGTAGCCTGCAGCCATCACAATCAGCAGCCATTGATGGTTTTTACTTCTACAAATTCATCTTGATCCTTTTATCTCCTACTTTTTGGGGCAGCTCATTTCATTTCCTCTGTGTGAAATACCTCCTGAGCCTATCTTGAATCTCCTGCTGCTGTTTTTCCATTGATTAAAGAGTTATTTGAAATATGTGGTCACCCTGCAATATATTATCAGATAGTATACCAAATACTATCCAAGATGCATCAAGCCCTGTATGGACATAGAAATTGGACATATGAAATATAAAATGTGGATATATGAAGAACAAATGTGTCCATAACAAGTTATAAGATTTAACTGCCAAAAATACCATACAAAATGGCAAAAATAAGAGAATTAATAATAATTAATATTCAATTAATTAATTAATTAATTAATATTTATATTAATATTATCAATATTAAATTAATATTAATATTTAATTAATAAATAAAAAGGTTAATAGTTAACTTTTCTAGAAAGTTAAAAATGTGTGTATTCACACATAAAACCCACAAGCATAGTGTGGGTTTTTATTTTTTTCAAGTGGACAGCCATGTTGGTTATGCCTGATTATCCTGATTATGCCTGAAGTCTATTGCCTGATTACCTGACCTGAGAATGTTTGAATTTGGTATGAAAAACATGAAAGAAGATATGTAACATTTATATATCCTTTGCTTACCAAGTATCAAATGAAAACAAATGTGGTGTTGACATTTTCTAAAATTTAGATTATATGCAACTTGAAATTTTTCAGATATTCTGAATAATAATTCTCAGTCCCTTGCCGTGGTTCTACTAGATATTAAAAGACACTAAAAACTATCTGAAAATTACCACATTGCCTACATCTATCATAAAAAAAAGAAACTACTGGTATATATTTTTATGGACTATAAGTAGAAAAACAAGATTTTATATGCAAGATCAACATTCTAAAAAAAGTGCAGAGTATGCCCATTGCTCTGCAATCTTATGTGGTATTGATCTTTTATAAGGAATTAAAATTCAAAGGGGACATATTTAAAGGAGCACTTAATTTCACAGATTATATCATACAGTATTTAACAATCTGCAAAATACACATACTTTGAACAATAAAACTTGAATGTAAAAATATTTAAACAAATGTATACTTTTTTAAAATTAATAACATCTAGATATCCAAAATTACTATACATCCAATATATCTACTTTTGCATCAGCTAACATTCAGCATCAACAACAAAGGATACGGATCTGCATAAAATGATACATATATATTTAAATTGAATTGCACTGGTCTTACAGGAGTAGCTGTACATATCATGAAATGGAGAAATATAAAACAGACCCTCATGTCCTTATAAAAAGTACAATATAACAGAACATAATATAATGGGTTATTTGCTACAAGGGCACAGTTTTAGCTTCTATGGAATTTTTTAATATTTGCCTTCCAGGATAGCTGTTAGGAAAGCATTACACTGCGCTAACATCAGAATGGTTTCATGAAGACATTGGCCTGAAGAACACTGTGGAATGCCTTTTATCATATGCACTCAATTCAGTGGGGACAAGTGATAGGGAAATCAACCCAGCATTGCAACTACTGTCTAGGTATCACCCAGAATTTTAATGTAATTAAAATAAAATATATGAGTGTGTGTACCTATATGTGTGTGTTTTACATTTCTAAATCACTCAGCAATTTTTATTGCATGACAAAAGATAAGTCTGATTCAAGTGCAATATAAAACAAACAAAATGAAACAAGAATGACAGTATCAGTACTGCTATTTCAATAAAACTGGCATTTCTAAACTGTTTCTTAAAATGTCTAGAAAAACAAAATAGCATCATCTGACACCTGAACGATTTCCATGTAGATTCTAGGAGACTTTCTTGGCAAAGGGTTTCCAATGCTAAAAAGGCCCTTTTCTGTAAGTATAGTCCACCTATGTTGTCTTATTTAGGAGCAAGGGGTCCTAAATAAAGCAATTAACACCTTAGGGCCAAGGTTAGAAAACATGCTCTTTTGGGTAAAATGGCTCAAATCATTCAGATATTAATATCCGCACTTTCTGTGCTAATGATATCATATAAACTCTAACTTAAGCTGAATTCTACTCTCCATTCCCAGCTCACAATCCAATTTCCATGTTTTATATGCTGACACGATTGCTATCATTTCTATATCCTAAGTGAGGCTGAAACCTCAATCCTCAAATCTTACACACCATGCATGAAAAGCTTGTAACAAAATGATCAGATATACCAGCTATGCAAGCCTGCAGCAATCAAACTTTTCAAAGCTGAAGTACTTTTGCTATATCGCATACAGTGCTGTCTGCCTAAAGATATCTTTGCACTAGAAACAGTTTAGTCTAAATTTCCCATTTTTGTTCCTTGCCCTGTCACAAATGTATTCTTTTGGTTAGGGCTTGGATATGCCATAGCCTATTTGAGGCTCTTCTAATTAAATCTATGGAGTCTCTAGGCCAACTTGAATTGATCGGCCAATATGGAGTGAGGTCAAGTAGAGAATTTTTGAGCTTGACAAATGGGGGGATAGATTTAAATATATCTTAAAGAAATGAATGGGGGATGAAATATGAGAAGACAAATATAGAGCATTGCTGGTGCCCAAGCACAAACTTGACTGATCACCTGTTAAGGCTGCTATTAAGGTCTACTTTATGGTAGTAAGACTGGCAAAAAGCCAATACTCTCCTTTCTTATTGCATCCACATATTGCTGCCCTGCAGTCCTGTTTCTGGTAATACGTGCACTATTGGGTAAAGGGGGCATGCAGAACCTCTTACCAGGGACGAATTTGTGCAGCATCAGTTGGATAAATTTGTTCAGATTTGTTGCCACCTGGACATTGGCCTTGTAGGTTTAGAGGAGATGCCTGTTAAGATATTGTATTCAGTTATCTGAGAATGGTTTGAACCTGTTGGCCTGAAAACATGAGAAACCTACTCTTCAGTCCCATTCCTTTCTGGCTTTCAAACAGACCCAGATGTTGTGTGAGTGGGTTATGGCACTGGCTTATTCTTTTTTGAGTAAGTGGGTTGTTCCATTACCTGTTAATGATGACTTGGTTTATCCCCATCTAAAGAAGCCATCACTGGACTGGAAATTTTTAATCCAGTACATCACACTTTTTCTTGGGGAAGGTGATAAATATGGTTGTGCAACAGCTTCAGAATATCTTGGAAGAAGCAGAACTCATAATTTAAGAATAGAGGAATTTAAGATTAGAGGAACTGGAATATATTGATTTCAAAGCGAATGACTGGCCCCCACGGGAGAATCACTGGCCCCCACGGAGAGGGCTCACAACTTGGGCGTCCTCCTGGATGCACGGCTATCTTTAGAAGAGCATATGATGGCCGTGGCCAGGGGGACTTTTTATCAGGTCCGCCTGATACGCCAGTTGCATTCCTTTATGGATCGGGACTCCCTACACACGGTCACTCAGGCACTCGTCACTTCCCGCCTGGTCTACTGCAACGCTCTCTACATGGGGCTCCCCTTGGGGTGCACCCGGAGGCTCCAGTTGGTCCAGAATGTGGCCGCACGGGGGATTATGGAGTGACAGCGCGCTCCCATGTGATACCTCTCCTGCACGAGCTGCACTAG